TCTGAGGATGGCACTTGACGAAAAAATTCATCAATTTCTAAATACACCTTCAATGAATTTAAGGAAGCTACTTATAAATTACTGACAGTGTATGATGTGGATATTCATTTATTTAGAGATTCTGAAAAATGAATTTATACGTTTAAAGAAACGGATGGAATTGTTTTTAGAAAAAAAAATTTATTACGCAAAAATCAGTAATTGGGATAAATATATTTTAAACCGAAGCTAAAAATTACATGCAAAAAAATTAAAGTACTTTATCTGTAATATTGGAGAAGCTAATGTCTTTAATGCTCATCAGTCTGGATTTAATTTAGAACTATACACTAGTCGTAAATTGGCATCTAAAGGACAACAAAAAGTTGTAAGCTTTATACGTATATGCATATTATGACTCATAGTTATACCATACAACTATTAATTTCAGCCAAAGGTGTTTTATTGTTTAAAACAGAAAATTTTCGGATTTTAACATCAAACTAAGGTTAGTTGACTTCAAAAATTCGAAAAATTTTTCTGTTGAACTAAAACTAAATTTGATTATATTACTCATAGAATTGTCAAATTTTAAAAAACGCATAGATTAAACTAAAACTCGTAATAAAATACGAACCTGAAAAAACCTAGGAAACTAACTTATGAATAATAATGAAAAATACAAACCTGCTATATTATTTTTTATAGCGATAATTCGAAAATCAATTTCGTAAAGCAAAGAAGAGAAACACAGGTAGCTGTACTTATAGGCTTGTAAAGCCACGACTCTTATGAGAAAGGCATCCATCTACCAACAAGTTCAGTACTACAATTTAATTTATTAAATTTATTTAATTTTAATTTATTAAAATTAATATCAAATAAAGTATTCTACAAACAAATGAAGTTCAACTAATTTTAATTGCTTCATTTTATATATAGCTTATCAGAATACTCACCCAACAAGTCCAATATAAATTATTTTGAATAAGTGGATTTTTAATATATAATAATTCATGAGTTTATAAATTATTTATTAAAAAGCACTTGTTTAACTCTTTGAGTCACCGCGTGACACACACTTCACACCTAATTCAAAAAAGCATAACTTTCTTTAAACTGATCAAATCTAATCCTAACAGAGCTCATTTTGAAAGAGTCGGACAGAGTAACAAATTTATAAGTCTGACGCTTTAAAAAGTACTACCCTTTTTAAAATATACCCCTTCAAACAAGGGCAAAAATAAAAAAAAGAAATTTTTAATTGTATAAATTTGAGAAAATTTTTTTCCCACCTTTTATTATTCCATATTCTTAAAATGTTGTAAAAAATGTAAGGCTAAAAAAATTTCCAAAATCCACCCCCTTTTACACAAAAATCTAAAAAATAGACTAAAATAGATTGGGCTTAAATGGAATTTTTTTTTCTTTTTGTTCGCCATGTTGGTTCCGCCATTTTGAAGTTTAAAAAATTTTGCAAAATCGACATTAGATTTGAAATCAGTGACCCCGAAAACGTAGTATACAGTACTGTTAAAGAAACTTTTACAGAAAAAAACTTTTGAAAGCATAAATATTTTAATTTTTTCATTAGAGTAAATATCGGTAACTTACTTTTCATATTAAAATCTCAAAATAGGCACAAGGATTTTCAATTATATTTAATACAAAAGTAATAATATGAAATAAATATTTTTTGTAATTCTTATATCAAATAAGTAACCAGCGACCCCGAAAACCCCTAGATATTAAGTTTTGGGAAGAAGTAAGACTTTTTAAAAATTTTGGTCCGCCATTTTGTATCCGCCATTTTGAATTTTTGAAATCTGATATCAGATTCGTAACCAGCGACCCCGAAAACCCCTAGATACCAAGTTTTGGGAAGAAGTAAGACTTTTTGAAAATTTTGGTCCGCCATTTTGGATCTGCCATTTTGAATTTTTGAAATCTGATATCAGATTCGTAACCAGCGACCCCGAAAACCCCTAGATACCAAGTTTTGGGAAGAAGTAATAATTTTTGAAAATTTTGGTCCGCCATTTTGTATCCGCCATTTTGAATTTTTGAAATCTGATATCAGATTCGTAACCAGCGACCCCGAAAACCCCTAAATACAAGTCTTTAAAAAGTTTTATACTTTAATTGCGTATTTTATATATTTATATCTGTTTGGGGGTTTTTGAGCTATTGAGGGGGTAGTTTCAACCCTTAAACCTTCTTCTTTGCCGATAAAAAAAAATACGTATCTATTATTTTGTCGAGTTCTTGAAGTGTGCCAAATTTCATCCAAATCGGAGAGTAACACTAGGGTAGGTTTACTTGTTAGAATTGCATAAGAGATTTTCCGGCATTTAACAAGCGACGTTGGTCAATGTATACAAATTACCAATTTTTTTGGTAGATGATAGATGTTTCAGGATTGCAATAACTTTATTTATTTGTGAAATATTTCATTTTTATTAACATTAGTTAATTAATTAATATCTGGAAAATAACAAAAAAGGACAACTCAATATTTTTTGTGGTGAAAATACACATTTTTAACTTAAAAAAAAATAATGAATAAATAAAAAAGACCGAACTTAAAAAAAAGTAAAAAAAATTTTGATTTTCAAAAAAGGGTCAAATTTTTAATTTTTTAAAAAAAATTTTGCACCATTCGAAAGAGCAGGAAAAAACCTTTCGAAAACATATAGGTCAAATTTTTTTCATCTTTCTGTTTAAAAGTTATAACTCTTTAAAAATTCTCTGATAAAATTTAAAAGAAAAATTCAACCTCATCCCTCTCCTACAGTTTTTGAAAAAACTTAACAATACTTCGCACGGTGAGCTTCGTTTAGGTTCAACCTAAACTGCATGACCCTTCTCAGGTTTTTTTTATATCAATTCGGTGATGCCTCACGATCATTTTAAGACGAAAATTAAAATAATCGTTGGAGGGAAACTCAAATTATATTGATTTTTAAATTTTTTTTCTAGGTTATTGAAGATATTTTCATTAAAATACCGTTTGGTAAAATACTTATTGCTTCAAAAGCTACAATTTAACATAAAAATAGATTATATATAATAATTAAACCATTTTGATACATAGAATTAAGAAAATGTTTAAAAATAGTCGAAAAAATTGAAATTTTTCTAATTTTTTAAACTTTACTCCTTTATTTAACGTTATTTCAATAAAGTCATGTAGAAGTGAATTAAAGTACATAAAATTTCCTGTAAATCAAAAAAAAAACTCTTCTATCTATTATTGTTACAAAAATATGGTCATTTGAATTTTAAATTTAATGGATAAATAGTTAAAATTTACCATTAGGTCTAGATTATTTGGTAAAATTGTTTTCGCAGAACCTCATCTCAATTCCAGAATATAATACGTATAAGAAGGTTTAATCTTGAACAGTTTCAAATTGAAAAAACTGATTTATCTCACTTACATCGAAAGTTACATTGGTTTAAAGAATGTCTATTTCTATAAGAGAGATTTGAGTAGTTTTTAAAAATCCGTTTATTTTGAAAAATGCAACATAATCATATTTAAAATATTTACTTTTTTAAAAAGTAAATGGTAAGGTACAAATATTTGGTAACAACCACGATATTTTTAAAATGCGTGAAGGCCGTTGTATTCACAAAGAGCGCGATTTAATTATGGAATTGAGATGAGGTTCTGCGAAAACAATTTTACCAAATAATCTAGACCTAATGGTAAATTTTAACTATTTATCCATTAAATTTAAAATTCAAATGACCATATTTTTGTAACAATAATAGATAGAAGAGTTTTTTTTTGATTTACAGGAAATTTTATGTACTTTAATTCACTTCTACATGACTTTATTGAAATAACGTTAAATAAAGGAGTAAAGTTTAAAAAATTAGAAAAATTTCAGTTTTTTCGACTATTTTTAAACAGTTTCTTAATTCTATGTATCAAAATGGTTTAATTATTATATATAATCTATTTTTATGTTAAATTGTAGCTTTTGAAGCAATAAGTATTTTACCAAACGGTATTTTAATGAAAATATCTTCAATAATCTAGAAAAAAAATTTAAAAATCAATATAATTTGAGTTTCCCTCCAACGATTATTTTAATTTTCGTCTTAGAATTATCGTGAGGCATCACCGAATTGATATAAAAAAAAACCTGAGAAGGGTCATGCAGTTTAGGTTGAACCAAAACGAAGCTCACCGTGTTCGTGTTTAAAGTACTCACCCATAGGGCTAAACTGTGTGCAAGTTACAGCCCGATCCGACCAACTATTTTTCTCTCAGTATGCTACAGGAATTTTACCCCATATATACACAGAAAAAACCTAGTCTCATTTTTGTTGCAAATCAAAATGAGCCAATGGTAAACGACATAGACAGTGGCGCCACCAACCTGTTTCATTTTTGTTGCACATCAAAATGAGCCGCCTACACGGCACATTCTGGGTTCAGTTTTTTTCTGTAACAAATGTACCTTGCTAATACTGAAGAAATGCTTATTATGCGATATAAAAATGAAAAATGTTGATATTTTCCAAAATAGATCAGCTAGGGTTTCGGTTGAAGCATTTTCTTGATGTATGATCAACCCTGAAAACAGTGGCGTTTCCACTTTTTTTTCGTCATTTTCGTGCAACCTAAAGTTGCTTCAAAAGCCCACCGTGTTATGTGTTCACCGGGTCGGGGTTTTCAAACAGTTTATAAATATCAAAAACGATTAGACAAGTGTTATAAAATATTTTGAAATCAGATAGCATATAAAATGTTTATATGTTATATAATATTCCTTTTTCTAAATGATCTTTATCAATTGGAAGTGTTTTCGTTTTCATTACCTAAAAACGAGCTATTGGTTTCATTTCATAAAGTATTGTCAAATGTAATGGTTGTGTGCATGCTGGTTACGCCTATCCATATTTATTTTAAATATGCTTGAAAAACTTGACAATCAATAGAAAAAATTAGAGCATCAAAATATGGAGATTCTAATAAAAATTCAAAAAATTAGTTAAATCTTACTTACGTTAAAGATTCGTCGACTTCTCCTACTTGGTACAGCAATAACGAAAGATTATAAAAACCTCGTGTATTGTCAGATATTAATTTGGTTGTAGATCGAATATCTGCAATTGCCTTGATATGTTCACCCAGAGCAACGTTACATTCAGATCTGAGTTGTCGAAGATAAGGAGACCATGGACAATCTTCAATAATACTTGTAATATGTTCGACTGCTGAACTATATTCTTGCTTATCAACTAAAAACTCTATTCTTTCTAAATGTTCTTTTAATTCTTTCACCTTAGAAATTCCGTCTAATGCTTCTTTATTGTTTGGTTCCATATTAATCTATAATAAATTATTATGCATTAATAATAAATTATTAAAGCCTTATCTGTCTAAGAAAAATAACATCAGGTATGTGTAGTAAAAAATGTCTAACTGAATCTTACCAACGGATTTAAAAAAGAATTTAATTAAACTAATAAAACTTGGTAAGTTTTCTGTGTATTAAATGCACACACAATACACACTCACATGCACATATTGAATACATTTTTCTATCTAGAGTAGAGTGAGGTGAAAAAGCCACGTTATTACTTTTTACGTTATGAAATCGAAATTCAAAAGTTTTTTTTTTAAATTTCCTATTGGTACTGAAAGTTTAGTTATTAAGCTTCAAAATTCTTGTAGGACATTTTTTTTTGTATTCCATGAAAGGACTAAGTTATAAGAGCTTTACGAAAGCACTGCAAGTGGCTTTTCTGCGATTTTGCCAAAATATTTAGTTATAAATTTTTCTCTTTTTATATTTTTCTTTTATATACATGGCAAATAAATTCACAGTTATCGAAATAAGCAACTTAAAAATAAAAATTACCATAAAAACTATAATATTATCGATACAACATCCAAACAAGAATAAAAAGTTGCGTGTTTCACCCCACTCTAACCTATGTATTTTTTTTTTATTCATAAAAACTAATTCTCATTTTTCTTATTCTAACCCTTCAAATGAAGAGTTTTACTAACAATACGATTTCTCAACGACATATTGAACAATAATATGGTAGATGACGGATCCACTACCTTTATAATTTTAATTGTCCGAAGGGCATAATGTTAGTCTACCAGAACAGTTACAAATAAAGATGAATATTGAAACGTTTTTGTCAGTTTTTAAAAATTTCTACCGGGTAAATCCGACGTGCTACAGACTTGGCATAGGAATCAAATTAAAACTTGAACCCTGTACTTTACGAAGATATAGCGATATTGACAACAACAAAATAAATTAGCTGTCAAAAATGGTTTTTTTAAGTTGTCAAACATATAAATTGACTCACTGTTGGTTTTGAAATATTTCCCGTTTTCATTCTTATCGTGGTGCCGCCTGTCGGCATATAAAATAACTACCTTTTATTTTGCTCAGGTTTGGTTAGTCTTTTACATACCACTTATGTAACAATTTGTAATCTCCTTTTATAGTTCATTAAATAACGTAAATTACATCTTGTGTTTTTACTCGAGCCACTAATAATCCCAATTTTCCAAATCAGAAATAATTTTGAAGTGGACCAGTACATTTGATCAACGGATGAAAAAAATCAACGTAAATGACCCGAAAAACGAAATATTGCAGAAATATCTGAGAAGTTTCTCTTGTTTAAAAACGTCTCTAGGAGTAACATTGGTAAAAATTTTGTTATTATACAAAAAACTTTTAATTCTTTTATGGTACGTTTATAAATATAGATACAATTTTTAATTTATTAGCTCGAGTCAGATTTTGAAAAGAAATTGGATGAGTTCAATACAACTCAAAGTCTTCCTGCAACAATTAATGGCCTACATCAGTCTACGATTTCTTTTTCGAATACTTGGTCCAGGAATTCAGGAAAATTGATTTCACTTTTTAAAAAATCAAAAACAAGAGAAGTGAGGCACTTTTTTCAATTGCATAAGGACACCATAGAAAAAGGTTTTTACTATTTCTTTTTAATTTTTAAATTTTAATATAAAATATTTTTCTAAATTAATATAATTAACATACTTATTAAGAAAACTTAAAAAAAAGTAAAAGTTTGTCACTTATATGTGTATAAATTTTTCAGGGACTCACAATGATGTAGTAGCATTATTTTTGTTGCCAATTTGTTTTAAAGTAACAAAGACTTTCAAAGAAGGAAATGCCACGATTTCTTATTCCAAAGAAGAGATTTCCAGGAGTTTTATATTAAACGTGCAAGTAAGAATAATTAATTTGAATTTCAAAAATATACTTTGCTTACGTATTTTATTAAATTGAATTGAATTAATTTTTTTTATATATTATATATTGTTATTTATAATTTAATTATGTTATATACATTTGTGAATTTAATTTTTTTAGGATCCTGAAAATGTAGACACAGAAGTAAAGGAATACGAGAATTGGTTACAGCAGAGGAATCTACCTATTCTTCCGTACGTCGTCTTGTGTGGAGAAATTGGGAGGATTTACCAATCGTATGTCATTTTTAATGGCGAAAAATATCCTCATGTAGATCCCGTAAAAGCTGTCGAATCATGCTACAAATGTTTGAAAGCATTAGATAGATGGCCCACTATTTGTGATTTTGTTTGGGGACTTTTAGGAAAGTTAGTCTATGGATTTGATCTGTTTAAAAGTTGTGCGCCTGTTACTAAGTTTTTAGTGGAACTGAAAAGATGTAAGTAATTTTTTTAAAAGTTACAAGTGTGTTATAAGATCGATTGAAAAGTTTTGTGCCTTTTACAAAGTCACTAATGGAACTAGAGAAATTGAATTATATATTTTTTAAAAGTTCTTGGTCCATTACAAGGATCTAAATATAAAACAATTTTAATAGTTTATTAAAATTTAATATTTATTTAGTTTTAAAAATATAATTTATTATTTTTTAACTTTTAATTAAATCGCGGTTTTATACATTAATACACGGAAAGAAATTTAGTAGCAATATTTGATAAATCTGATAGGAAATTTTAGTATTCTCTTTTTCAAACGCGGAACATTTGGGTTTGATAACGAAAATCGGTATATTTTTACCAATAGTCTTTTTAGTAAATATATTCCAGAAATTGAAATTATTATTTCGTAAATTGATAAATTTATACGAAAAACCAGAAGTAAGTTAAACCGACGCGCACTTCGTTATTTACTAAATTTATATGAAAATTTGGAAAGATTATTTCGAAATTTGTTAAAACTATACTAAAAATTCGAAGTGGTTCAGTCGTGACAGATGACGACAGAAACACCAACAGATTCTACGCCAAAGTTTTATCTCTTTCTCATCTCGAGGATAGACGAGGATATGAACTTTTAAATGCACACACACATATACACCGCAATGTTTTACATCGATTGGCTTATTTTTATTCCTAACCTATACTAACGATAATACGTATAACATTCGCAGAATAACGCTTCATATACAAATTTACGCTCATGTGAAAAACTGATGTGACCATTCTTATATACTAACCAGACATATTTTTCACCGCTTATGAGAAAGGTGAAATTATATCAAAACATGTTTAAAAATATAAATAAAAATCATTATTTATTGGGAAATAATTAAATATTTTATTATTTTTTAAAGAACAATTTTTTTTACTGATTTATTGTAAAATCTTCGAAATTAATTATATAAAAGAAATTCAGGTCTGTATCAAGATAATAGTAAAAAGGGGCTTGTCTAAAGAGCTTCGTCAGTCTTCGTTACCACTCGGTGAGGATCGGGCAATTCCGAACGTTCAACTTCGGCAAATTTCGTCGAATCTCGTTAACTTTGATATTTCTTTTTCAATTTTCATATCAAATATATCAAAATCTCAAATAATTATATCATTTTATAGAATTCTAATTACGAAATTTGAAATATTTGGTTAGAAAAATTGATAAAGAGCTTATTAAAATTTGACATTTTTGTGTTTCAATAAAAAGATTTCAGATTTCGTAAATATTATATCAAATTTTCTTTCCAACTATATTAAATATTCTTATTTTAATCTCAATCATTCTTAAAAATAGTATCGAAAATCGTTATCATGCCAAAATGTTCCGCAATTGTAACCAAATATACTAAAAAGTAACACCATAATATCAAATATTGCTACAAACTTTCTTTCCGTGTAGAATGGATCGCAAGAAAATGATCAATTTTCTTTTAACATTTATTCTGGCATTATACGGAAATCCTTCACTTCCACGAAATATTGTTCAAATTGTTATAGACTATACGAGAAATTTTATAGCAAGCGTATTTTTACCCTGTTTGTTAAATGATATTTTATCAATATTGAAACACGACAATGTTGCTGATAGTACTTTATTGAAAGTTGAAGAATATTTTAAAAAATACAGTTTAGTGTTTAATGATGTTTCAACAGAATGTAAACGATTTGAATTACTGAGACAAAGAGGAATATTAGTTGATTTTGAAGAATTTAGTATTGGTAAACATTTTGTAGATAAACTTGTGAATAATGAGATAGTTCTTGTTTCAGAAACTTTACACGCAATACACATCCCATTAAGAAAAACATTAAAATTGTTTTTAGAAATTCCTGGTATGTTAAAGCAAATAACTCAATATATTACAAATTTAAAAAAAAGAATCGAATATTATCACGAATATTATGCAGGCTGACATGTGGTTAAAGAAATATTCAAAAAATGTTGGTGAAATTGTTTTGCCCCTTTATTTGCTTTACGATGACTTAGAAATGGGTAATCCATTGGGTAGCCATGCCGGTAAAAACAAATTTGGTGTCTTACATGCGTCCATCGCATGTCTTCCACCGCACATTTCATCTCGATTGAGTAGTATATTTTTGACTCTTTTAGTACGTACTGCTGATAAAAAAATAGTTCAAATGATAATGTTTTTAAAAAAATTATAGAGGAGATAAATTTTTTGAAAAATACAGGGATTCTTGTTAAAATCAATGGATGTTTACAACGCGTTAAATTTGAATTAGTTTTAATTCTTGGAGATAATTTGGGCCTTAATAGTATTTTTGGATTTGTTGAGTCCTTTACTTCTACCCACTTCTGCAGAATTTGCACAATTTCTTCAGAAGATTTTAAAAAATTATTTACTGAAAATGAACAGATACTAAGGACACGTGAAAATTACGAAAAAGATGCTAAACAATGTAAATTTTCTGAAACCGGAATTAAAGAACCATGTACTTTCCACAAAATCACAGGTTTTCATATTACGGAAAATATAACTGTAGATATTATGCACGATTTATTAGAAGGTGTTTGCTTGTACGTCTTAGAATCTATAATATGGAATTTTATTTTTGTCGACAAATTTTTTACATTACAAACTTTAAACACACTGTTACAGTCTTTCGATTACAGTCAATTGAACCGCCGGATCGTAGAAGGGCATACGCGTGAAATCCAGCGCTTTAAGTTGGCCCCTGACATGAAAAAAAAAATTTTTTTAATTTTGATTTTTGAATATTATATTCTTGTAGAGAATAAAATTACGCAACTTTTTTCTCAATAAAGTTTTTTCTTAAAGTGAATTGTTTTCAAAATAATTGCAAAAAACTTGATTTTTTTATACCGTAATATTTCATTCAATTTTATGTTCAACTCGTCATAAATCCGAAGTTTTTTGACTTTTTGACTTCAGATTTGGAGGATTTACTCATCAAAGTGTCCCAAAAGTGTTAGATGAACAATAAATAAATTAAAATAATAACTAACATTTTTATTAATTTATTTATGTTAAAGGCCAAAAAAAATTATTTAATACTTTCAAATGAAAAAAGTCTGTGACGAACTTTCGAATTGGAAAAACTTCCAGTGGAAGAATTGTTTATAATAGTTCAATAAAGTTTTTCCAAAAGGTTTTAAACTAATTTGATTAAACATTTAGAATTTATAACAGTTTTACTTTTTGGTACGCCGCGCGTGGACCGGCCGTGAGTATAGTAATAGTGGCGTGATGCTTTATATCCTGGATATTTACTTATTGTAAAGACTTTTAGTTTTTAAAAAATTATTTGAATATTTTTGAATATACATTTTTAAACAATTTTTAAAAAATATAATTTTTATTTTTTGTATGTATTATATTTTATTAATGTTTCAAATTCAATATTTATTATTTTAAAGTTTTTGATGTTCTTCTCTCGCTATGTTCTTTTACCCAGTCCGTCCTCTATTTGTAAACATAAACATAGCTATTCCTATATTGTTGAGTGTCTATAGAAAATAGTTTTTACGTACAATTCGTTTTTTAAGAATGCAATTATTTAAAAAGTATTCTAAAAAGGAAGGTTTAATTCAAAATGTCATGTAATCAGTCAACAATACGGACTGGGTAAAAGAACATAGCGAGAGAAAAACATCAAAAACTTTAAAATAATAAATATTGAATTTGAAACATTAATAAAATATAATACATACAAAAAATAAAAATTATATTTTTTAAAAATTGTTTAAAAATGTATATTCAAAAATATTCAAATAATTTTTTAAAAACTAAAAGTCTTTACAATAAGTAAATATCCAGGATATAAAGCATCACGCCACTATTACTATACTCACGGCCGGTCCACGCGCGGCGTACCAAAAAGTAAAACTGTTATAAATTCTAAATGTTTAATCAAATTAGTTTAAAACCTTTTGGAAAAACTTTATTGAACTATTATAAACAATTCTTCCACTGGAAGTTTTTCCAATTCGAAAGTTCGTCACAGACTTTTTTCATTTGAAAGTATTAAATAATTTTTTTTGGCCTTTAACATAAATAAATTAATAAAAATGTTAGTTATTATTTTAATTTATTTATTGTTCATCTAACACTTTTGGGACACTTTGATGAGTAAATCCTCCAAATCTGAAGTCAAAAAGTCAAAAAACTTCGGATTTATGACGAGTTGAACATAAAATTGAATGAAATATTACGGTATAAAAAAATCAAGTTTTTTGCAATTATTTTGAAAACAATTCACTTTAAGAAAAAACTTTATTGAGAAAAAAGTTGCGTAATTTTATTCTCTACAAGGATATAATATTCAAAAATCAAAATTAAAAAATTTTTTTTTTTCATGTCAGGGGCCAACTTAAAGCGCTGGATTTCACGCGTATGCCCTTCTACGATCCGGCGGTTCAATTGGGTCTTACTACTGCTTTACCGACAATAATATTAACCAAAGAAAAAAAATTAAAATGTCTGCATTTGAAACTCTTTGTTTCATGCGGTGTTTTCCACTAGTCATTGGACATTTAATTCGTTCTGACAATGAATGTTGGCAACTCTATAAATTATTAAGACAGATTTTAGACATTGTCACTTCACCAAGAATAATTCGATCGGATGCAAAAAATCTGAAACGGTTAATTCAAGAACATAATCAACTTTATGTTAAATTGTTTGACAATTTAAAGCCAAAATTTCATATTCTATGTCATTATCCACGAATTCTTCTACTCAATGGGCCTTTTGTCAATTTCTGGTGTATGAGGTTTGAAATTTTATTTTTTGTCTTCAGATTTTTATATTTTGAATCATTGCTTCAACTCTTGAATTATATTTTCATATTTACAGACTCAATATTATCAAAAAAAAAATTGACAACCCTTAACAACAATGATTTCGATAGATTAAAATTTCAACGGTGCCTCCCCTTAACCTTTTAACTGATGTGCAAAGAAAGCGAACATTGATCTGGCAAATAGACTTTTTTTTGAGCCACAGCATCCCCAACAATTAGGAAGACAGCTCCTCGAACACTTAAT